TAAAGAAGGTTTAACGTGACAATACAGCTCCCGCAGTTTTGCGTCTCTCTATGGGAATGGAAGCGAGAGGAGGGCACGCCCCCCATGCTTCCAGATGTGGCTCCGCCTTTACCAGTTACGCTGATCGCCAGACAATCCGGAACACCGACAGGAGACTCAGCGCTGCGCTGCGCAGCATCCGGCGTCAATGGGTTAATATCCCAGTTAGCCCTGTTAGCGGCGCAATACATACGTCATGACCAAATAGCAGAGACTGGTTAAATAAAAAAGTACCCGCCTACCGCTGAGCAAATGAATTCTAATGCTGCGAGGTCAGATGGCTTTGACGAAGTGAAATCGGCTGATGAATCAGGCTACATATTGATCACATGCTTCTAAAAATGTGCTGTTTAAATCCATTTGTGTTTTTCTTGAGATTTCAAACTATCTTAAAACTTTTTGTCTATGTTTGCTAATGTGTGCACTGTGTCGCCATGGTAATTGCCGAACATCCCACCAACAGAGATGCATGTAGAATACCCCCAGCATGTACAAAATGAGAACAGATCCTGGTCTCTTAACACTGTTTAACCAGGTAGGAATGAGCACTCAGCTAAAAGAGCGACTTTGGACTGAAACAGGTTCAGTTAATGATGCACCAGTTATTTATAAGTAAGCAAATATCAACTAACAATGGAGACGGACCGATATGCATTTGTAAAAATTACTCAATTTAGATAATTTTTTCCCAAATTATTGAATAAAAACTGAGCAGCCTACAACAGACCCACAACCTTTTTTAATGCAAAGTCCAGTGTAGTCACACTTTTGCAGAACCTTTTCTAGATTAGTGGTCAAAAAAAGCTTTATGCACCATATATTTCGTGCATATTTAGGCTGCTGGTTGGGCCAAACTTAATATTGGCATTTCAATCAGTCAATTAAACAATTAGCATTAGCAAGTATATCTTCAAATTTTCATATGTTGACTTTAGTAAGAAAGGTAGTTGAGTTGTTTGTGGGTCAGTGTAATGAACGGCGTCCTGGGACATGGGGACTTCCTGTCTGTAATGCCCCTGGTGTTTCCTGTGTTTACATGGTGCTATCTGCTCCTCAGACAGAAGCACAGGGGGCTCTTTGATCCTGTGACTGGGTCAGGTGATGAGCACGAGCAGAGAAGATAAAACATTTTTAAGAAATCGAATGCACTATTTTAGAAAACATAGTCAGAATAAGTTTGAGGAAGTTAGTCGCAGCTCCCAAAGATTTTGTCCCCAATCTGAATAACTATAATGGAACAGGTTTGGCAATCTAAAAAAAATATTTATGTTTTGGCACATGCCCAGTGGTGAAACATAACAAAGTAAAAGTAGTAAAGTACTGCACTTAAGTATACATTTTAAGCATCTATTGTTTACTTAAGAGCATTTAAAGTGGATACTTTTTACTTTTACTTCATTACATTCAAGTGCAGGTATCTGTACTTTCTACTCCCCTACATTTTTTAACAGAACTGAAGTATTTTTCATTATTGTTTGAGACCTGCAGAAAATGGTTTATTAGATAGAAACAGCTGGAAAAAATACTATACTTATTCAACAGTTTCTGCTGAACAAAATTCAGCAGAAACTATTGAATAATTGAGCTTGAATTGAGCTTTGTTAGATTTCAAAACCTGTGCGAATGACTTTTTACTTTTTCAGTAAATTTTTAAACAATAGTTTTACTTAAGTTGATTTTTTTGTGTCATACTTTTACTTTTACTTGAGTATTTTTTGCTCCTGTATCTGTACTTTTACTTAAGTATCAAAATTAAGTTCTTTTTCCACCACTGCACATGACATACCAATGTAACAAGGTTTGCAGTGTTTTCTGTTGGTGGCTCCTGCTCCAGCTCTATAGTCTGATCTGACTCTGTTCATGCTCTAGATCTTTACCACAAATATCCACAAATAGCTAAATTACAATTATATTTTTTCCTTAACTAAAGTGGTTGAAAACAAGAAAGGCTCAACATCTGAGGTCTAATAATCTAAGGTTTCCTCCATGCTGGGATCATCCATAAAACTACACAAGAGCGTTTACCGTGAATAACCAATTGTTGTCACATGCTTCACTGGGTTAATGAATACACTTTTTGCACCACACTGCCATCTGCTGTTCGTAGCTACAAACTCAACATGACAAATAAAATAATCACCTTATTAACCACCAACATTTCAGAGGACACACACAGGAACAGTCAAATCAGTTTCCTCTGCTTGCCCTACCTTGTTCTTTTATACTTAAACAATACAAATAATAAGTGGGAGGACAGTTGATTAATATTTTTAAAGTAGTGTTGACTCCCATAAATCTACCAAACAGAACTACAGCCAACACACACAATTAGAACAGCTTGAGGCCAATGGACTATAAAACAAGAGCTCAATAGAAAAAGGAGGGAAAGAGAAGTGGACCTAATAAATAAATCCAGGCACAAAAAGTCTGCGCAACATGTGAGACATCTGCTACTGAAACAGCCAGTGCCCACAGCTGTTCAACTGGATCACTGACTCTCACTTTTAAACTCATGAACAATAAAACACTAATGTATGCTCTAAAAGAAGAGAGTCTTACCTAAAGTCCAGAGTCTCTGGGTCCACTGCCAAGGTGACCACACACCACACAGAACGGCTCATTTACAAACAAACTCACAAAATGGGAAAGGGGGAAAACCTGGATTTAGGTCCAAAAGGGGAGTGGAACGGACAGAGTGACGAAAACAAGTGAGGGCTGGGTTGCTAAAATAAAGCAAGCCAGCAGACAGATAAGGGGACACACAAGGAGAGTGTATATCCTCACAGCTCTTATTTAAAACTAAACTTTTCTCTTTGCCACATCAGTGCAAACAAAGGGGATGTACGCTTAAATTGTTAGGCTGCAAAAATATATGTAAAATATGTGTACACAAAACCCCCTAAACATGCACAATAGGCTGATTCTGGTTGACTCAACAGGGTCATAGCTTTTTGTTTTTATGACAAATTGACAATAAACTAAGTTTTATAGTATGAATACTAAACTCATGCATATAGAAAACTTCTGATGTGCAGAATGATTTGTTGAGCTAGAAACTGTTGTACCAGTTTTAGTAAGAAGTAGTGATATTAGTCAGAGTGAGGAAGCCCTCCATACAACTTATTACAGGATGTCTAAAAGAGGAGCAGTTTATTCAGTACAATACCCAGAGATATGAACAATCATCCATTGTGGTAGTATTGTTCATTTAAGTCTGCTCATGCTTCTGTTGTAGGGAGTATTATAACCTTTAATAACCAGATAACAAACACTGTACTGGAGGTATTTTTTGTACACTATTGCAGTGTAGCTCAACAGACTGCCTGCTCCAGCTCTGCAAGTACATTTTCCATTAATTTTTTCCAGACTTTTCCAAAAATTCAAACATTAAGAGTTCAAAGACATCACTGAGGCTAACCAACAACGTTCTAACTAATATCTATAATAAATATAAGACCTATAATAAAATTATAGGTCTTGTGATGATAGTTACATTGACGTTGATTTTATTTATTTATTTATTTATTTTTGGAAAGTCCATAATTTTTTCCGTAGAACAGGAGAAATTGGTTTGCCGCCTTTAAGAAATACAGTGTGTTATGTAACTTATGTTCAGTGTGCTATGATGCATATAGACTAAAGGGCACAGTCAGCACTGTTAACTACACGGTTAGCAAAACACATAACCAGTTCCACTTCAGACATGTGAGCTAATGAAGCCTCTGTGTGCTAATCTGAGCCTCAGTTTCAGGAGGTGTAAAAACATGGTTGTGCTGAAAGAGGCCTTTGAGCTCCACAGCTGGAGCCTTCTCTTCATGTTGTGAGTCCAACTTCATTTTACACAAGATGTCCGCTTTGATAAATGCACTTATGTAACTTCAGCAGGCAATCTTTATGCCCTGAGCAACAAGGCGGTATTTCAGAGCTGACGCAGTAACATCAGGAGACAGCCGGTCAATTTTACAGTTGTCAAGGGATGCACTCAACTACAGCTACAGCAATAAACAAGTCTCATGCTTTTCTTTAATGTTTGTCATTTAAGAAGTGTTGAAAATTAATTATTATGCAGCACGTGATGATTATGGCCCATTCCAAACAGGGGTAGGTTTAAGACTCTGTTGCAGCTTCAGTGGTCGGCTGGTGGGCAACTGGTCATGCAGCTTTATTGTTCCTTATTCAGTCACACTAAATGTAAACAAGACACTAACACTGGGTCAAATGTATTAACTGTTAGTGAGTAATAATTTACTTCTCCTGATGAGACGCCCCAGCTACATAGGAGGATGGGTCTCTTAAGCTTAACCTTGGTTATGTTCACTGTACAAATTTCAACAAACACAAGTAGTTTGCTAGTTCGGTCAAACTAGACTAAAAGCAGACTAATTCTCCCGCCAAGAACGCCTGGCTCAGCGTTAATTTCATAACTATTCTTCTGTCACTTCAGTGAAGCTCACATTGTTATAATTTCGAGATCTCTGGGCTGCAGCAAGTTCCCCAAATGCTGAAACAAATCTTATCTTTGCACACAAGCTAGCAAAGAATGAGTTGAGAAAATGTGCTAAATTTGACTAATTATTAAAGGTGCACAGAGAAACTTCCCAAGTGGAGGGTCTGCTACCTAATTGTCTCTTTGGAGATATACATGGCTTTCCCTGGAATATTCCACAGTATGACATTAAACAGCTCAACCTTACATTTATTGAATTACAGTGGTTTTACAGCTGAGAAATACTTAAAAAAAAAACATGCATTCTGACTGTGAGCGGGGTTGCCTCTTCACAGCTCTGACCCGTAACTTGGCCTAGTTGGGTCTCTACGAAGATAGTAAGGTTTAATACCATACTGTGAAACACTTCAGACACAGCAATAACATCTCCATGATGAAAAGCATTTGACTGACCATCCTCTAGAAAAGTTACACAATGCATCTTTAAGACAGCAGGCTTAGAAGCAGTACTCACGTCTCCATTGGTCAGCCACTGTATCAGGGCATCTGCGGTGTGTGTGGGCAGCTGTTCTCTCAGACCCTCCCTCTCCTCTGCACTGAACTGGAGCTCCAAGGCTTCTTTCAGGTCCTCTGCCAGTCTCAGCACCCGCAGTGGACCAAAGTCGCCTGGGGAAGTCAGCTCGAAAATACCGCTCGAAGACGCCACTGTTACCGTCTTTGAGCCTGCAAGAGAAAATGTGGTCTAGTTATTTCAGTCTGATGAGAGCTGAATCTGAACACAGCACTTTAAGCAAGACAGAAGAGTTCTTTCTTTGTGAGGGTCTCTCCAAATGGCTATGTGTGAGCTGGACTTCTTCCCACACATCTGCATGCACTCATGACAGCAGCTCATGCACACAGCTGTATCCTTAATGCTGACGCCAATGTCAGATTTAGTTCTATTATGCTAATTGCTAATCAAAGTACAAACTATGCTTCAAACTAGGGATTGACAATATATTTATTTTCAATATAGGTAATACTGATATCGAGAGGGCTTTCCCAGGTAACGGTATCCGTCTGATATTGTAATTTAGGCAGTACGTGGCACCTGTGTTTTACTCATCCAAGTACTTCTGTCCGTTTTGATTAGAGATATATCAGTTGGCCGATATATCAGGCCGAAAAATACACATAAAGCTTTATTTGAATACTTTAGTGCAAAGAGAGAACAGCACAAAACATGAGTACATTGCTTTCTTAAAGGCTTATTGTAAAATAGGGCATTAGGTAAGAGTAAAATTACAGTTGTAAGTCATTTAAATTACAGAGTTTGTGTAAAATAATCGAAATCGGCCTTACATATTGGCCCAAAAACATCAGCAGTGTTTGTCGGCCATTGGTTTCTCTGGATGCTACACAATCAGATTCGGCATAGGTCATGAAAAAAACCCATATCTCTAGTTTTGATATGGTTCTGTGTGTGTCATTCCCAGTTTCTCCTCATTGCTTCAGAATTGTCATTTTTAACAGACTAATGATTAAAAATGTAATAGAACTTCTCCACTGTGTTTTTAAACTCCATACACCTTCACTAGAATAATTTGGATAATTTCAGCCCTGGAATTGTCAGTCTCTTCTGAACTAAAGCTAAAAGGTAACTGAAAATTACCACTTTATGACATTCTAAGACTGAACAGAGCATTTTGATATTTCTGAAGATGTAGATTTCTCAAACATATGCGAATGAAACTCCGGGTATGTTCCAGAATGAGGTAGCAACATCATATCAAAGCTTACAAGAGTCACTTTTGCGCAATATAGGACCTTTAAGTTGTGAACTGTATCATGTATAATGAGTCTTGGGGACCTTGATACTGGACAAATAGCATTTTTAATTAGACTAACAAGCTTTCTGACCGTAGCTACTTAAACTACTCTTGCCACACAGACACACACGCACACAGATGATAGTGACTGGCCTAAGTGGTCTCGTTTAGCCTTTGCAGATGTTTGGATAACACATTGCACACTCTAAATAATAAGATATGAGAGCAGCCCCAATTTCCTCATCACTGATTGGTTGATGTTATCACAAATGGGATGTTAATGTCTTTCTATTTGTGTCCACTAAGAACTGCTCAGTGTGGCAGCAGTAGCAGTAATATTTTTTAAAATGTGTTTACTTTCTTGATAGTTTGATCACATGTACTTTTTTGTATTGGGGATGGTTTTATATCGGTATTACAAAAACGTCCTGACAAATTGGGTTCTACAGATTTTCTTCTATTTCTAATGTAAACAGAAGAGCAATGAATCTCTTCACAAACTTCACCATAGTTTGTGGGCCATTGATTTTAACATTGACTTTGATATCTACAAACAGCAAGTCACCCACAACAACAAGACAAATATTGAACATTGATATTGCCTGAAAAAAATCCATATTGGTCCATTCCTACTCCTCTACATACAAAAAGTAGTTACAAGGCCTGTCCAAGGTTTTATCAGACAGTGTAAATGTGATAAAGAAAAGACTAGCATTTATGATACAATGAAATACAGTGAAATGTTGGTCTGCATTAGTGAAATGTTGGTCTGCATTTGCAGTTGTTTATTTATTTATTTTTTTTATCACCTGCGATAATGTCGTCCATTTGCTCCAGAGCAGCCTCCAACATATGACTGGCCTCCATCTCCACAGCAACAGAGGGCAGCATCAGATCTGTTTACATGAGTAAAAAAAAGTGGAAAATCTTATTAATTAATTACAAAAACAAGTAATAATAATAATATAGACTGCAGCAGACAGCATGTCCTGTTCCTATAATACATCTGTGTAAATCTGGAAAGTTTCTCATATAGTATTGCTGTCTGCCTATCCCCAGTGGCACCCTTGGCCCTGCTCCTGTTCCTACCACCCGCCCTCTGTGGACCTGTCACAGTCACTTACAGATGAGTGGACATCAACATGAGCACATCAGGAGGAAGGACAGTTGTGTTTTCAAGCCATGTCCCTCCAACACCATGAGCTACACTTATATGCTCTGATGAGGACAGCCGCTGGGACCATCATGTGCCTGTTACACTAATGAAGTCACATGTTTTTAAACATTTGAAAACTGCAGCTGATAATGGACCTTTTTACAATTACTTTCACATAATTCACAATTTCACACAGAAAGTTACTGAATTTAATTTCAACCGTATTAAAACAAAAGTCAAAACTTCTGCTGTTGTATTTGGTTTGAATTAACAGTAGAATTTGTATGTTTTATGTTTACTGTTCAATCACGGAGCCCAAGTGAAATGAAGCAAAGATGCTCTGTTAATAATTACACGAGACAGAGGTGACGTGAGCTCTATGGGACAAGCACAGCTTTGTGTGAGTGAAGGACATCAGGGATTTAAAGGACTTTCATTGACTATTGTTTGGGGACATGTTTGAAGGTGATTGGTCCAACCGAGTTTGTCTTTAGACATTTAGCTCGTGTCGGACTAAAGTCTGCAACTGTGTCAGACCAGACAGGGTGCTGTTGTGCTGTTTTTTCACTGATACTACTAGATTTGAACAGTATACTTTTAAAGCAATTTTTCATATGTAGCATGTGCTGCAACATTTGCATGTGCTAAACAGCACCGCCTAGTGTTAAAATCTGTAATTTCCTTTTTGGTTTGGCTACGTACTGTATTGTTCTGTTTTTTGAAGAAGCTTTTCTAATACCCATTCAGACTTTGCACTACACTGGATTTATGTACAATTCATGTTAGCTACTGTTCATTTACATACACATACATACACACGTACAATAATAAACATGGAGCCAATGAAGCTAGACTGATGACATAGCTCAGCTCTGTCAGCACTCAAACACTCTCACTACGGAGGACAAACCAGTTTTTCTTTTCGCTTAAAGGCGTGTCTAATCCTATATTGACCAAGTCTTCAAGGAGACACTAAAGTTAGCCACACAACAGACAACAGATGAACAGAATACAATGCATACTCTAAGCAATTATTGGCCTTCTTAAAACACACAATGCTCTTGCATTCATGTTAAGTATTTAATACAAAATCTAAAACACAAGAAACAACATTTATTAAAAACAAATATTGCTAAAAACAGCAAAAGTTCAGTATAGTAAATGGAGTTTAACAGGCCATTGCACTCCTGCTGAGTGGGCTAAGCTGCAATGCAAAAATACGTTTAAGCCCTGAGAAGTGAACCATGCAGTACAAAGATAGTCCTTATCTGCAGAAGAGTTTTAAACTATAAAGGCTTTTTTTTTTTTCTGTGCTGAAGAATGTTTAGTCATGGGTCAGCACCTTAACATTTGTTTGTGCATGGTCAGAGGAGATGAAGGAGCTCAGAAGATAAAAAAGTACATGAAATAAAATCAAATCTATCCATTTGGTAGAAAGCCAGAGTAAATATTGTTTCAGTAACGCGGTACTGCAAATGATGAGATGACAAAAATAACAATAACAACAAACTTAATTCCTGTGTTTATTCATTACTCTCTGCATTCACTCACACAGAGATGAAGATAGTGACTACCCTAAAGTTGCTCAGATCCACAGAGCGGGAAATGCCCCAAACACCTTTTCTTTTCTTAGAGCTTCTCCACACAGCAGCTCTGCTTCGTCAGGAAGCCTCGGTGAATCCTGCTTTCTCTGCACTGGGATTATTCCCCCATAGGCTTAAACCATTGCAGCACAGGCAGCACCAGTCTATTCTCTAACAGTGTGAGGGTGGATTTCCTCTTGTGCTAAAAAAGCTCATTTAGGCTCAGTGTTGGATACATATTAAGCCTTTTCACGTGAAAGGAGTTTATTTTTGCACACTTTTACCACCAGAAAAGCAGAAGCAGTGAAAATATGAGAGGCAGATGTTGATGTAACTTTCAGATACTGCCATAATAATATGACACAAAAGTCTGGATAGCATATATTGGAATTGCTTTCCAATTGAAAAGCTTTACAAGATTCCACAATCTTCTGGCTGTTTGGCAAGGTTTGATTTCTGGACGGCACATGGGCCCTTTCTGTGTGCGACGTCTCTCTATGCCTCTGTATCCCCCTCCCACTGAGTCCCCTAGAGATTGTGAAAATTAGTTTGACTTCCCATGTTATATTAAAGTAAAGCAAATTAATAAATTAAATATAATTCTGCAAACAAAGAAGACTTCAACCACAATCAGTGGTGAGTCTTGTGCAGGCCTGACTACTGCCCGTTCGAGGAGTACTGCACTGGACTCATCTGCTCCACGTGTTCTGTTAGTGCCGCTGGGCTGGAGACACTCAGTGGACTCAGTGTGACCTGCTCACATCTGAACAAGCCTGATCCAGTCACATTTCAGCTTTTTCACTTGTATCTAGTTCATCCAGAGTCAGCCTAATGAAGCATAGAAACGCATGACTTCAATCCCCACAGGGAGAACAACGTCAATGTCATTCAGATATCACAGGCAACTGTATAAAACAAACAACAGCTAGATGGCTCTGCAAAAGGACAATGCATGTGCTGGGAGAAGAGGTTTAAAGCCTCAGATCATAATTACATCAATACAGGAATCGCATATATCAAAAATAACATTCACAATATTATTTAAAAAGGTTATACATTATCCACTTCTACAAAGAAAACATGTAGATTTTGTGTTTTTTGATTAAATACCTATTTTGTATCACGCAACATCAGTTTTAGCTTAATCTGGGTGTAATTTAATGGCAATTAAACAATACGGCAGATTAATCGACTACCAATATTGTAGTAGTACTGAAAAGCAATCGCCACATAAGAAAACCACATGTATTGTGGAGTTAGCAGGTCCTGTATTTGAATAGTGATAAATGCAACAGTTGTTTAGCCTGCAGGAACAGAAGAGCAGCTAACAGGAAGCTGGCACTGATCCAGTACTACCACATTCCCATCAGTCACTGTGGCTTTGCTAACACTTGAGCTGCACAATGGAGGTGAATGCACCGGCTGCTCCTGATGCAACAGCCTTTGACACATCGACTCATCTGCAACTTATTATTAAGCTTGCATAAATTATTATAGTTGTACAGAGAGAGATACAGCATTAAAACTGTTATAGGGCCCACATTAAACTATTTGCTGATCTGAAGTTATAATGCTGTTGCTCATCAACAGCAACAGATTGTTTTGTTTCATTCACACATGTTTAACACACAAATCCTGCATAGAGTTCTTCTCTCAAACAGAAAACACTCTGTTCCACTTTGTAATAATCAGGTGGTAATACAGGACGTGCTCCGATGTGTTTATAAACTCCATACACTTTCATAAGACTCTGTTGAACTACAGGTAAAAGGTAGCTATTAACTTGAAAACTACCATTTCATGACATCACAAGGTGGAAAAGAGCATTTTGAGCTTTGGAGATGTAGACAGACTAATAATAAAGGCTTACTTAAATATTTTGAATGAAACAAAATACAAATCCAAGTATTTTTTTGATGAGGTAAAATCTTTAAGGAAAGGTCAATGGGAAAGGAAACTTAACATAAGGCCATAATGAAGTACAGTATTGTGTCCTGGACAAACACCATAAGCATGAATGAAAATAAACAGAACTTTTTACTTTAGTCTGTTGCACACTTTCTTTTTGATGAGGTAATAATATTATAACATGACTTAAAGCTCACAAGAGTCAGTTTTGCATAATATACAACCTGTAATTGAGAATGAAAGACTCCTACCTGAAGAGCATGAAGAACCGTGCGTGAACAGAACAAAGAGATGTGTGAAGCAGAAACCTCAGCAGCAAACGTTGACTTTCTTTGAGTGGATTAACCATTAACACAGGTAGAGTTTGTGTCACCCTCAGACCCCCCCCCCTCTGCCCCAGCCCAGGCTGTCACACCAGGTGAACGCACCCAAAGGAGCCCAGCCAACAAGAAACACCACATTCTCCAACAATTTACATCAATGCCACACTGGAGCAGCAGAGGAGCGGTGGCATTTGGGAGCTCTGGCCTTTAACTCAGCCTCAGAAAACCATTCAAACCAAGAGGAAATAGAGGATGCAGATTACTGGAGAATATTGAACAGTGGGTTGAAAGGAGTTCAGTGAAAAGCATTTATCAATAAACCAGCCGAGAGGAATTAACTACGAGCAGTTACTTTTAATCAGTTGCAGTCCTCAGTGAGACATTATTAGATAAGCTGATCTTTATACCTCTAAGGCTTAATGAAATGCATACTAATACTTACATAAACTGTGATGATAATGATACTTAAGATTTTATTGTTTTTTTTATGAAGGACATTTGAATTAAAGGGCCCATACTACTAGCATGATTCATCAGCCGGTTTCACTGACCTCGCAGCATTAGGATTCGTTCGCTTGGCGGTAGGCAGGTACTTTTTTTTATTTAACCAATTGCTGCTATTTCGTCATGATGTATGTAATGCTCCAAATCCCGTAGGAAGAAGGGCAATAACGTCTTTCCCCTTGGTAAAATTCACCAAACATTCTCTTTGTTCCGGCTTTAAATCCTCGATCTCGGGAAACGTTGCCAACACAGAATGTCTGACTTCGTCTACATCCATCGCTTTGTTTACTGTTGTGCTGCACCACAAAAGGGACCCAGACAGGCGCTTGAGTTTGACGTCATGGCTTCACAGCTCTTCGCTGATTGGCCAGTACGCAGTCTACAACTTCCAGGATTCTTGCAAACCATTTAGTGTATTCCAA